CATCGCCAAAGTGCCTGGGCCTACCGTGAAAAGTTGCTGGAAAATCAAATCCACACCAGTTGAAAGAGACTCATGGGGTATAGAATCTGAACTGCTGTTGGACTTATCTTAAGCACAAAAACAGCCATTGTCTCTACACAACAGAACTCTGCACTGATTAAAAAAAAAAAAAAGGTTGCTGCTGCCTTATCTAAGAGATAATAACTGTATTTTTAAAAGTCAAATTAGCTCTGTCTTTTGCATGCCTGACAAGTTACTGACATAGAATTTAGTTGAATTAAGAAGGCTTTTCCAACTCACAGTGTGACCTCTTCAGCGGTAAAACCCATGTCTTTTCTTGAGAGTATGGTGGGTAATAGTCTCTAAATACAGCTTCTAATGAGGCTTCTCTTTCACAGGGGCCTTTCTTTCAGTAAATTCTCATTTAAAATGGTGAAAATGAAAGGAATTATAAAAAGCAAAATAAGAATAACTTCAGAAAAATATTAATAAAGGGGTGATGATGGGTTAAACTGAAGTCTGAGATAAAATTTAGAATGTAAACCTCTGGTTGAGGCTAGTTTTGAAGAAATTGCCATTACTTTCCTCACCTGTCATGAAAACCACGGCTTGGCCAAAACTCTTGCCATTAGCTTCTACCTAACAATCCTCTCCTTGCTTCTGACTTTTACCAACTTCCTGAACTCTCCTCATTCACTGAAGGTATGAGCCTTGAGCTCACATTCTTTCTTTCCTTAGTATCTAACTCCTCCTTCTCTATTGGCATTTTCACTGCCATTTCAACAAGGTGAAGTCCCCCCTATTCTTTGAAAAAAAAAAAAAAAAAAAAAAAAAAAAAAAGAAACAAGGAAAAGTTATTCTCCACATTCCTCTCCAATATATTTAATATACTATAATCAGAACATTTAGAAAAATAAAATTTCAGTTATGTGACTTACTACTTAAGTGCCATCAAATTATTCTCATTGCATTTATGATAAAATCTGAGTCCTACGTCTGTCTTATTAGGACTTACCATCCTAGTCTCATCTGCCCCTCCACCTCCACCTCTGTTATCTATTCACTAGTAATGCTGGGTCTGTTCTAGATCCTCACAAGCATTCTGGCCTTTTTTGCCTTGGACCATGCTGTCTTCTCTGCCTGGGACTTCTTGCTCTCGTCACCAAGATACTTTTCCTTTAGGTACCAGTTTACATGTCATTTGGCCTGGGAACCCTACCTTGTTTCCTAGTCGATATGTTGCAATCTCTGTTCTTTTTCCAAAAAGACTGGTTTTGAGATTTAAATAATCCATTCCCATATCAACAATCTAAGACCTTAACAAATCTAAGGCGTTCTTAAATCTAAGATGTTATCAAATTCATTGCCATAATATTTCTTTGTATCCATTATTCTTGTTATTCCCACCTGCATGAATTCCAACCATTTAAATAATAAGATTCCACAAGGAAAACAGCCTTTTTTAAAACCATGGAGAAACATACTGTCAACAAGTTAATTCAGCATTATTTGCAGGCTGTGGTTGGCATCATTTCAGCCTGTCCTGTAACAATTTCTGTGGCTATTCCATACAAAATAAATATACTCAAAGGCATAAGAACTAGAGAAAAACTACATTTTAATAATTCTAAATGCATAATACCTCACAGAGGCAGCTTGTTTAAAGTCTTTACTAAGTACTCTTTTTAGACAGAATTTTAAAAATTTTCTTTGAATTCCCAAGATGTGTATGTCACAAGAAAATCATTTGGTCTGACTCCAAGTGATCTCAGCTAATTTAAGACCCAGGCAAAACGTTATTCTGACAGATAGCATCAGAGAACTACTAAAAATCTTATTCAAAGATCTAAGCAAACATAACCACACTTGAAGAAGGCAGAACCTCTGATTTGTCAAGCAATTAAAGAGTGAACCATAGTTACACGTTTGACAGCAAAGCAAATATGGGAACTTACGCATGTCACCAAAGGCCCCCTTTGTCACTTTGGTTGCATGTAACACCACTACCGTAAACTTGTGGGAATACTGGTGTTCCACCTGGAAATAAAATGACAGTAAATTTAAAATAAGCTTCCAATATAGAATCTCATTTTTTCCTTGAGACTAATTAAAAATATTCTACTTAAAAACAAGTAGCATGCATACCAGAAACATTCTTTGATCCTAAGGCTGCTCCTTTTTTGAGTCTACTCTCTCATCACGGAATCTTTGAGAAGTTTAGACTGTGCCTTAAAATGTCGCTACAGCCTGACTACAAGCACTTCTTTGCAGTCCGGTTTACCAAGCACTCGGTAAAAAATGTAAAGCAGGACTGCAGGTAATCTAGGAGCACAATCAGGCTTTGTACTTCTTGACTAGGAAGCCCTGGCTTTTAAAGGTGAACTCAGAGCAAGATGTGTGAGGTTTGTTTGTTGTTGTTGCTGTTCACTGAAGCAATCACGCAAAAGACTTTTTCTGCATGACAATTCCAGGACAGCTTTCAAAACCCTATGGACCCAAGGCCATAACCAGCAAACTAACTGCACTAATTTTAATGCATTTGTTAGAAATTACATGCAAGAATATTAAAATTTGCTATCTGCCTAATAGCTTGCATAAACATAAGAAATATTAACAGGTAGAGAACTTCATTAGACACTTTACCTAAATGGAAAGCAGTAATCAAACAATCCTCACTAAAGCAGAATGAGGAAGTGGGAACTCACATAATTCTTGGAGCAGCTGAAAACTTTACAAAGTCTTTATCTAAAACGGAAGCATTTCTTGTTTTAATCTTAAGAGAAGAGAGATCCCAGATGGCTGATCACTAGCAGCTTGGGATGGTAGCTCCCAGTGAAGGCGCAAAGAACGAGAGGACGCCACACTTTCAGACGAATTTTTGTTGCTCACGGACCAGGAGATTCCCAGCGGAGGAGCCCCACACGTTGCCAGCACGACTCTCGTTGCCAGCGTGGCGGTCAGCGCCTCGATGCGGCAGTTCTTGGTGCAGAGTCAGAAAAGCACCAGGAATCTTAACGCCGCTTTTTTATACGGCGCAATGGGTTGCTCAGATTCCGGCGCTGGGAATCAACAAGTTGGACGTTCACTCAGAAACCTAATTAGAAAGTTAGTAATTACAAAGACTACAGATGGATAAATTTATAACGAAGGGAAGAAACCAGTCTAAAAAGGCTGAGAATACCCAAAATCAGAATGCCTCTTCCTCTACAGGGGATCACAGTTCCTCATCAACAACAGAACAAGGCCTGATGGAGAACAAGTGTGTTCCATTAACAGAAGTAGGCTTCAGAAGGTGGATGATAAGAAACTTCTGTGAGTTAAAAGAACTTCTAACCCAATGCAAAGAAACTAAGAACTTTGAAAAAAGATTCGACGAAATGCTAACGAGAATAGACAATTTAGAGAGGAATGTAAGTGAATTAATGAGCTGAAAAATACAACACGAGAACTTCGCGAAGTACGCACAAGTTTTAACAGCTGAATTGATAGAGCAGCAGAAAGGATATCAGAGGTCGAAGACCAATTTAATGAAATGAAAGGAGAAGACAAGATCAGAGAAAAAAGGATAAAAAGGAATGAGCAAAATCTCCAAGAAATATGGGACTATGTGAAAAGACCTAATCTACGTTTGATAGGTGTACCTGAATGTGACGAAGAGAATGAATCCAAGCTGGGAAATACTCTTCAGAATATTATTCAGGAAAACTTTCCCAACCTAGCAAGGCAGGACAATATTCAACTCCAGGTAATACAGAGGACACCACAAAGATATTCCTCAAGAAGACCAGCCTCAAGGAACATAATCGTCAGATTCACCAGGGTTGAAATGAAGGAGAAAATACGAAGGGCAGCCAGAGAGAAAGGTCAGATTACCCACAAAGGGAAGCCCATCAGACTCACAGCAGATCTCTCAGCAGAAACCCTACAAGCCAGAAGAGAGTGGGGGCCAACATTGAACATCCTTAAAGAAAAGAACTTTCAACCCAGAATCACATATCCAGCCAAACTAAGCTTCATAAGCGAAGGAAAAATAAAATCTTTTGTGAACAAGCAAGTACTCAGGGATTTCATCACCACCAGGCCTGCTTTATAAGAGCTTCTGAAAGAACCACTACACATAGAAAGGAACAACCAGTATCAGCCTTTCCAAGATTATACCCAAAAGTAAAGAGGATCAACATAATGAAGAATTTACATCAACTAATGGGCAAAACGGCCAGCAGCACTCAAATGGCAGTATTAAACTCGACTAAATCCCCTAGTCAAAAGACACAGCCAAAACCCATCGGTATGCTGCATCCAGACCCATCTATACACAAAGACTCAAAACAAAGGGATGGAGAAAGATTTACCAACGAAATGGAGAGCAAAAATAAATAAATAAATAAAAAGCAGGAGTTGCAATTCTCGCCTCTGATAAAATAGATTTTAAAGCAGCAAAGATCAAAAGAGGCAAAGGACATTACATAACGGTAAAAGGATCAATGCAACAAGAAGAGCTAACGATCCTAAATATATATGCACCCAATACAGGAACACCCAGATACATAAGACTTATAAAGAGACTTAGACTCCCACACAATAATAGTGGGAGACTTCAGCATCAATATTAGACAGATCAAAGAGACAGAAAATTAACAAGGATATCCAGGACCTGAACTCAGATCCGGAACAAGTAAACTGAGTAAACATTTATAGAACTCTCCACTTTAAATACACAAAATATACACTCTTATCAGCACCACATCACACTTACTTACAGGTTTAAATGAATATTGGTTGGCTGCTTGTTTGTTATTTTCTTCCCTCATTTTTTCCCTGTCTCCATTATTAAGCACAATTATTGGTATAAAAGAGGCTTTCAATACCCATTTTTAGACTGCATTTTAGCCTGGGCAATAAAGCAACACTTCCATTCTCTCTCCCTCTTCCTCTTTCTTCCTCTCCTTCATTCTTTTTTTATTTTTTATTTTTCTTTCTTTTTTCTCAAAAAAAAATAAAATTTTAGGAGAGGTAACTTCCCTTAATTTTAGTAGGCTTGCTTAACTGGCTAAAAAAAGTTCATAATTAGTTAAAAAGAGGCTCAGGTACTGACAATACTGAAAAGTGAGTAGTGACAGTCTAAATGCAAGGAGGCAAAAAAAATTGTCAAAAGTGTAGACAGATTCATAAGGACCAGCAGTAGCATAACATAGGGACAAAAACTAGAAAGCACTCAATAGCGTCTGTAGAAATCACTCCATCAATAGTGTAATGAACATTCCAGTTTATAACACAGCATGAAAGAGGTGAAGACATGGATAATAAGCATACCTTGCTAAAAAGGCAGAGAAGCATAAAAGTCTTTCAAAATGAGGCTTATTCGATTTTATTTTAAACAAGAAATACCTTCAACATCAAAGAGTTCTGAGTAGCCAGTTTTATTGTACATAAATGAAATGATCAATCATAAAAATATTTGGAACTAAATGAAATTGACAATACACTTTGTCAAAATTTGACTGATACACTGAAAGCAGTACTTAGGAAAATTTATAGCACTGAATGCTATATTAAAAAAGAAGAAAGAATAAAATTAATAATCTAAGCTACTACCTAAGTACTAGAAAAAGAAGAGCAAATTGATTCCAAGGTAAGCAATAGAAAAATAGTAAAAATTAGAAGAGAAATCAATAAAATTTGAAACAGGAAATAGAGAAAATCAATGAAACCAAAATTTGGTTCTTTGGAAAAATCAGTAAAATCAATGAGCCATTAGCCATGCTAACTAAGAAAAAAAAGAGAGAAAGAATAAAACTACTAATACCAGAAATGATAAGGGACATTATTACAGATCGCATGGACATTAAAAGGACAACTAGAAATACTACAAACAGCTCTATGTTCACAAATTTGATAATCTAGATGTAATGAACCAATTTTTTAAAAGACAATATCAAAATTTACATAAGAAATAGACAATCTAAATAGGCCCATATCTATTAAAAAATTTAATCAATAATTAATAACCTTACAAAACAGAAAGCACCATGTTCACATGGGTTCACTGTTAAATTCTACCATTTAACAGGAAACTATCAATTCTCTACAATCTCTTCCAGAGGATAAAAGCGGAGGGTATACTTCTTAACTCTTTCTTGGAGGCCACCATTACCCTAATTCCAAAACTAGAAAAAAACATTACAAGAAAAGAAAACTACAGACCAATATTTCTCAAGAACATACATGCTAAAGTTCTCAACAAAATATTAGCAAACCAAGTCTAACAACATATAAAAAGAATTATACACCGGGCCGGGCACAGTGGCTCATGCCTGTAATCCCAACACTTTGGGAGCCCAAGGCGGCTGATCACCTGAGGTCAGGAGTTTGAGACCAGCCTGGCTAAGATGGTGAAACCCTGTCTCTACTAAAAATACAAAAACGTTAGCCAGCCATGGTGGTGTGTGCCTGTAATCCCAGCTACTTGGGAGGCTGAAGCAACATAATCACTTGAACCCGGACGGCAGAGTTTGCAGTGAGAGAGATAGCCCCACTGCACTCCAGCCTGGGTGGCAGAGCAGGACCCTGTCCCTGCCCCCCGCCAAAAAAAAAAAAAAAAAGGAAAGAAAGAAAAGAATTATACACCATGACCAAGTGGGGTTTATTTCAGATATGCAAGGTTCAGCATTCAAGTCTATTAATTTAATCCATCATATCAACCAGCTAAACAAGAAAAACTACATGATCATATCAACAGATTAATAAAAAGCATTTGACAAAATTTAATACCCATTCCTAATTTAGAAAATCTTTTAGCAAGCCAGAAATAGAAGGGAGCTTCATCAACTTGATAAAAGACATCTTCAAATAAACTATAATTAATGTCGTACTTAATGATGACAAAATAGAAGCCTCCTGGAAAAGATCAGGAACAAGGCAAGGAGGTTCCCTGTCATCAACCCTTTTCAACATTGTACTGGAAGCCCTACTTAATGCAATAAGATAAGAAAAGGAAATAAAATGTATATAGATTGAGAATGAAGAAATAAAACTTTGTTCACAGATAACATGAATGTCTATTTAGAAAATCCAATATAATCAATTAAAAAAAAACTTCTTGGAACTAATATGTGAATATAACAAGGTTGTAGAAGATAAGATTAATATACAAAAGTCAAATTGCTTTTCTACATACCAGAAATGAACAAATAGACTTTGAAATTAAAAACACAATAATACTTCTATTAGCACTCCCCAAAATAAAATAGTTATAAATATAACATAGTATGTAAAAGATCTATATGAAGAAGAATACAAAACTCAGATGTAATAAATCAAAGAAAAACTAAATAAATGGAGAGATATTCCATATTCATGGATGGAAAGACTCCATAATGTAAAGATGTCAGTTCTTTCCAAAGTGATCTATAGATTCAACGAAGTCCCAATAAAAATCACAAACTATTCTGTGAAAATGAGAAACTGATTCTAAAATTCATATGAAGAGGCAAAAGACCCCAAAATGGTGAACACAAAATTGAAAGAGAAGAAAAAAGTTAGAGGACTGATGCTATGCAACTTCAAGACTTACTATACAGCTACAGTAACCAAGACAGTGTGGTACTGGCAATAAATAAATAAATAAATCAGGTGAATAGAACAGAATAGAGAAGAACATAAATAAGGTCAACTGATCTTTTACAAAGGAGAAAAGACAACACAATGAAGCAAAGATAGTCTTTTCAACAAATGATGCTGGAACAACTGGACATCCACATGTAATAAGTGAATCTACACAGATTTTAACTGAGCTTGAAATACAATGAGAAAATGCTCTTGAAAATCTAACTTAAAAATTAGCTTTCTCCATTAAAGAAACCCTCTCAATAATAATTATTATACATAATGATGCTCCTCTCCCAAAATCATCTATGCTCTTATTCCATATCTAAGAGCTTCTAAAATTACATGGGTTTTCAAATACCTAGAAACTTCCTTATATCATAAAAATTGAGCAATATTTTAACCCACTAATGAATATTTGCCTTTTGAAGTTGCTGCAAATATATTCGTATATTGTTTCTTAATAACACGTACAGAAAGATTGTTTTTATTACAAGGACTCATTGAATGTAAGCCATAAGTCATACATTCTACTAGACACCAACTGTCATTTAATATTCCCAACAATCCTATAGAATAGGTGTTATTATTTATATTTATAAATGAGTAAAATGAGATTCTGAGAGGCTCAGTAATTTCCCAGTAACTCATAGATAGTAAATGGTGACAGCTGGGCATGGTGGTTCACACCTGTAATCCCATCACTTTGGGTGATGGGATTACAGGTGGATGGATCATGAGGTCAGGAGTTCGAGACCACCCTGACAAACATGGTGAAATTCTGTCTCTGCTAAAAATACAAAAATTAGCTGAGCATGGTGGCACGCATCTGTAATCCCAGCTACTCAGGAGGCTGAGGCAGGAGAATCACTCGAACCCAGGGGGGCGGAGGTTGCAATGAGCTGAGATGGAGCCACTGTACTTCAGCCTGGGCCACAGAGCAAAACTCTGTCTCAAAAAAAAAATCGTAAATGGTGACCTTTTACTACAATTCAGGCTTACTGTCCTAGGTCTGTGCCTATCTCTTTCTACGAGCTTTAAGGATTAATAAGAAAGTATCTATAATAAAGTAAGCACATACTCTTGGAGAAAGATGTTCAGTTTCAATCAGTGATTATCCAAATAGTCTTTTGAGAATCATTTACCATGTTTCCTGGGGCCACTATCACAAGTAATTTCAAACGAGTCCAGACTGAACCAGGTTTCAACTTGGATAGAAGATGTTTGATTATATCTCAGGGGTAGTGCCAGAGGAAATTATATTACTGAATTTGCAACCAGTGTTCTCCAAAGGAAACTAATGACTCAGGATGATGGTGGCTGGTAGTTGGCAGGGAGAGATGTCATTATTTTAATTGAGATGTCAAATCTAAGCTCAATCCACAAATTTAGTCACGAAGTTTAAGCTTTGCCTTCAGGTCTTGGATTACTCTGAGTGTCTTTCTTCATCCATAATAGTTTCCACAGTAAAAACCAAGACCTTTTTCTTTTCAAAATTATAATTTTTTTATTTATTAAGAAAAAAGCTTTTTATTCATTCTGGATCAGTATATTGATATATGTAACAATGATTGGCATTGAAAAAAAGAACCAAATTATATCAAATCAATTTAATGATTTTAAAACGCTACTGATATAAGACATGAACCAAAGAAACAATTATAAAATAATGCTGATGTAGATTCTGCATGCAAATATTGTTTTCTCTATTCAACCTAACTTGGCCTAATTTTTAAAACTAAAAACCATTAGTACGACAAAGACTACGATATGTTATTATAAACTTAGAGATAATCATCATAATTAGGAACAGGCACTTTCTCAGAAATTTTTTTTTTAATGGCTGCATTAATTTCATTAATAAATCATGAGATTTTTTTGGTAAGATACTTATTTTCAGTTTCACTTCCTGGTGTGGAGTTTCATTCTAATATAACTATGAAGCACAGGTGTTTTGCTAATATTCACCAACAGTTTCAAAAAAATAATCAGCATTATCTCTTTATAGTCTAACAACACTATCTAACCTTGCTTTCAAAATTCTCAGTCGTGGGTTGGCTATGTGCAGAAATTATCTTAATGCTCAAAACACCTAATTTGGGACAGAATTGGTTAGCTCTAGAAGACATCGCTAAAAGAAAATCAAAGTCAGAAATATGACTTCAGGTTCTTCTTTCCATGAACAAGAAATTTATCACCTGCACAATAAGTTTATACATTAAGTTTAGCAATATATTTTTTTTTTATTTTATTTATTTTTTTGAGACAGAGTCTCATTCTGTCACCCAGGCTAGAGTGCAGTAGCTCAGATGATCTTCCTATCTCAGCCTCCCAAGTAACTGGGACTACAGGCATGCACCACCACACCTGGCTAATTTTTGTATTTTGTTTTTGTTTTAGTAGAGATGGGATTTTGCCATATTGCTCACGCTAGTCTCAAACTCCTAGGCTCAAGTGATCTGCACATCTCAGCCACCCAAAGTGCTGGGATTACAGGCATGAGCACCACACCTGAGCTATATATGTATATATTTTTAAAAATAAGAGCAAATATAGAGTGCGTTCTTATTGCAGTAAGGAGATTTTAAGTCCTCTTTTAACCATAAGTATAGAGACTAGCATCCAGAATATATATAAGGAACTCAACTCAATAGCAAAATAATAACAATCTGATTTTTAAAACAGGTTAAAGACCTAAATAGACATTTCCCAAAAGAAGACACTCAAATGGCCAACAAGTATATGAAAAAATGCTCAACATCATTTATCCTCAGGGAAATGCAAATCAAAACCATGATGAGATATTCCCTCATTCCAAAGAGAATCGCTATCATAAAGGCCACAAAAATAACAAATGCTGGCATAGATGTAGACAAAGAGAAACATTTAAACACTGTTGGTGGAAAAGTAAATTTGTATAGCCATGTG